ATAAATTTTGGAAATATTAAGTTTCCTAATATATACCCTTTTTTTCTGCATTAATGTTTAAAGTTTTACTTATTTTTTTTTAAGAAGTAATACATAGGCATGGCACAAAATTCAGCAGGTCCAAAGTCGTATGTGGGAAAAGTAGTCTCCTTCCTTCTGTCCCCTGGCCACCCAGTTCTTCTCCCCAGGGGTGACTACATTCTCTGCTTGTTTGTGCATCCTTCCAGAAATAACCTATTCTGCATTAAAATTTAAGTTTAAAAAGTCCCATCACGGGCCGGCCCGGTGGCTTAGCGGTTAAGAGCTCGCGTTCTGCTGCTGGCGGCCCGGGTTTGGATCCCGGGCGCACAACGACATACCGCTTCTCCGGCCATGCTGAGGCCACGTCCCACATACAGCAACTAGAAGGATGTGCAACTATGACATACAACTATCTACTGGGGCTTTGGGGGAATAAATAAATAAATAAATAAAATTTAAAAAAAAAAAGTCTCATCACTAGATAAACTGATCATGTTTGAATGACATTAATTCCTGTCAGATTGAGATGCGCCAAGGATCTGAGACTGGGTTCTTCTGGCTCTCATCTGTGGAAGGGGTTGATCAGCTTCATTATCTTCTTCATTATCTCTTGATCAAGATTGTCCTACAGGCCCATCTGCAGTAAGCTGATTTCAAGGGCCAAAAATTGGCACCACTCTGGAAGAATCTGGGCCCCTGAAGTGTTCTGTTTGGCTGAATCCTATTTTTTTCAATTTGAATTTTAAGATGGATCTTCAGCTCTCTAGGCTTCCACATATCCTGTTTCTTACAATTTACGCATTTATGTTACCTGCTTGTCCCCTTTCGGGGTCTAAATTATGACCATTTACCCAATGGTTCATCCACAAAAGAAATAATATGCTACCATTGAAAGTGACAAATATATGTTGAATAGCATAGGAAGATGCTTCTGATACATAGTTAAATGAAAAAACAGGTTGCAAGAGTATGATCCCCTAAATCCCTACTAACTTAACTAATTATGTGTAGATCTGTACATTGAAAAAATCTGAAAAATCAACACTAAAGGGTTAAAAGTAGTCATGTAAGTAAGGCTATAGATTTTTATTTTATATGTCTGTTTCAATTTTTCTACAACAAACCCACATGACTTGTGCAATAAAATATTATCAAAGTGAGATATGAGCCTGTTTCTCTCCTTGTCTCCTTGGATCCTAAAGGTTTGTTTTGATTTTGCTGAATGGAAAATAAAGGCTTTGTGACTTTTGAAAAAGAAAAAGCACTAGCTAGCTTGTTTTTTTACAAAAAAGCTGATTTTTACAATCAGGCAAGTGGTCCTTCCCAGTGTGCCCCTGAAATGCCACCACTAGGTGGCAGCCTGCTCCACCTGTTGACTCCGTGGGCTAGCCTCAGTCTTGGGTCCTTTGTGGCTCAGTCCAGACACTGGAGGCCTTTGTCTGGGTCCCAAACGTGACCAATAAGCCTGGTGTGTCAAGCTGGCCCCTTGCTCTTTTTTTTTTTTTTTTTTTGCTGAGGAAGACCGGCCCTGGGCTAACATCTGTGCCCATCTTCCTCTAGTTTATATGGGACACCGCCACAGCATGGCTTGACAAGCGGTGCGTCGGTGCGCACCTGGGATCTGAACCTGCGAACCCTCAGGCCACCGAAGCGGAACGCACACACTTAACCACTGCGCCACCGGGCTGGCCCCCAACCCCCCTCAATGCCCCCCCCCCCCCCCCCGCCGCTCTTCTTTTCTCTATATTCCACCGGCAAGAGCCAAGACTCTGGCCCATTGAGGGTGAAAGTCATCTTGGGCCCACCTTTACCCCTAGAAGCAACATCCACTGACCACAACAGTGAGGAGTTGTAAAGTGTAAAGTGGCTGCAGCTTCTTGTGTCATCAATTCCTTTACCCAACACCACATCAGGATACAGTAATTCTCATTTATTCTTCACCCTCAACAAGGAGGTAGAAGGGCCTCTCCGATTCTGCTCTTTTCTTACTTCGGCAATATTCACTCCCAACCCTCCTTCCTTCAGGGAGGCCTTTGCTAGTGGAGACAGTATCTGAGGACTGCTTGAGCTGGTGGGAAAGGAGAAGCTCAAATAGAGAGAGATGCCTAAGGGATGGCGTCACTTTCCTGCCAACTCCCTCATCGCCTCTCTCTCAAAGCGAAAGGAGTGCCAGCCTTCAGCTTCAGTCAAATCTTGGGCTCCTAGGGCCTTGTACAAGTCCATTGCCCGCTTGTTCCAGTCCAGGACTGCCAGGCGGAACTGGGAGCAGCCCTTATCCAGGGCTACCTGTGGAAGACATCACTCACTTTCCTGAGTTAAAAAGGAAAAAGCTTTCTCACCCTCCATTCAACCCAGGTGCCTCCCATAAGCCGTTGCTTTTCCAGGGCCTAGCCTGTAGTCCCATCCCTCTCCTCACCTCAGCCACCTTTTTGATTATCTTGGAACCAATCCCCTGACCTGTTGTGGGGAGAAGAAGGCAAAAAGAGGGATTGTTTGAGTTGACGGGATAAGAAAAGGCCATAGGCTGGGACTAGGGGGCAGGGGATGGCAGTGGGGTCTATGTGTTGCTTTTCTCCCACCCCAGCCTCAGCCTCTGCCCAGTACCCCGATATTCCGGCTTCACGTAGATGTCTTCCAGATAAACGTTGCGACCCGTCCATGTGCTGTAGATGAAGTAGTATAGTCCATAGCCCACCACACAGGGCCCTAAGAAAGAGAGAGAAAAGAGGGGTCAGGCTGCCGGGCACCTGGGGGAGAGACCTCTGAGGCTGACTGGAGAGAGGACTCTGAGTTCCCAATGTTCTTACCATGTGGCTCCCCGGGTACGGGAAGAATTTCTGCTACCAAACAGTGATAGAAAGGATTCTCTCCAAAGCCATCTGCTCTCAGGGCTGCAGAGATCGGAGTTGTGACAGAGAGATAGAAAAAGAGGGCCTGGGTGTGTGCGCAGCCTGGAGCTACTGCCTGGGGAGCCCACCCTTCACTTCCTCCCCAGCCTCCGTCAGGACCCAGGTGCTGGGCCCCCACCTTCTTCACTGATCTTCACTTGATCCGAGAGTTTTTCATATTCAGCTAGTTCCTACGGCGTGAGAACAGAGGCTAGATTAGGGCAGGAGGGTCCCTCCCGGAGCAGGACTCCAGGGTGCGCCCCTTCCCCTGCTCCCACCTCTTCCCCCTTCTTCCTCTCCCTCCCCCTGCCCCCCACTCCGGCCGCGCCGCTCTGACCCCCTCTGAAGACACTGGTTTCCGGCCCGCAGCCTTCACCCGAATCAGCCTCAGGATATTTCCACAGTCTCCCTCCTTAGCCTCTCGGATCCGCACGGAAGCCATCCCGATTCCCCACCGTCTGGGACTGAAGTCCAGCACCCCCACTTCCTTTCTGCAGGACCGGGCGAAGGGCAACTGGAATCCTTTAAAGGGCCTACAAACTCGGATCCCAGAAAGTCGGGGGAGCGGGCGGCGAGAACGCCGCCGACCGGGAAGCAGAAGACCAGCTCGGGCTACGGCAGGGCGGTCCTCACGGCCTCGTAGCCCCTAAATTCTGCTCCTGCAGGCGCGCGCCCGCCAGCCAATCAGCTTGCAGAGTAGGCACGTCCCCGCCCCCCCCCAGACCTGCCCCCGTAGGGCGGAGTCTCGTGACTGGGTGCCTGGGCAAGGGTCAAGGCTGAAGTGCTGAGGCTTTCTGGTTGTTATTATCCGGGTGTTCAAGCCTCCGTTGCAGAAATCCCATGGCTCAAAAGTCACCTCCTGGTCCTTCTTTAACTGAAGAAGGCGGTGATTATCTGCTCTACCCTTCTCTCACTCACCCATTCAGGCCCACCCAGACCCCGAGGGAGCCCTAAGCCCCAGCTCTGAAAGCTGTTTCCTACAGCTCTTGAGTGGCTCAAAGTGTTAGATCTCTCCGGACATTTGTATTTTAAAATGGGTCAGGGAGAGGGTGATGTATTTCTGTTGGTAAATGGTTAGGCCTTGTGATAAATGGATAAGGGAAGATAATTGGGAGTGGGGGATGGGTCTTTTTTTCGTATCTATTAAATCACACTCAGAGACAATACCTCCCTATGAGGCGAGCCTCAGAGACGTGGGTAAGTACTGAGGGAGGCGCTCAGAGCAGATACCAGGTACTGTGCCTGCGTTATCTCAATTAATCCTCATTCACAGTAACCCCATGAAGTAGGTATTATTTTTCACATTTTACAGACAAAGACACTAAAACACAATGGTGGAGTGACTTACCCACAGTCACACAGCTAGATATTTGGGATTCCATGTCTCAGCTCTAGTCCTGATGGAGGATGCTACTTGGGGAGCAGGGCAGGACTGTTTCCAGGCCTCAGGCCTGTCGAGGCAGCCTTCCCAGGTGGGCAGAAGGCTTGGAGAACCCAAGTCAGGCTCTAGAGGAGGAAAGGGGAAAAGTGGGGTCTTCCCTCAGGTCATAAACTTGCTGGCGGTAGGGGAGGGTAGTGGAGGAACTCTGTCCCTCACCCTATTTATCCTCAGAAGGGCCATAGGGTCAGTGCCCCTGTCTCCTGCCCCCCTTCTCCCTTCGAGGCAACCTTTTAACCCTCCACCAACCATGTGCAAGGCTGCCTGCCCCCATGCATTCTCCTCAGAGTTGTCTGAACCACACAGCGGACTGAGGCTGATTATAGAGAGCAGAGAGGCCCACTGGTCACATTGCCTAGGTGGCTGCTGCTGCTGCTACTGCCTCACAGCCACCAGGGACTGGCCCTGAGACATATTCTTCCTACTCAGGTGCAGGAGCTGCAGGAGCAAGGTGGGGTACTTAGCCACGTGTGTGCTTAAATGAACTGCTACTTTGGCTCTACCCTCTTCCTTTCTTTCCTCCTCCAGCCCTGTAGCAGTGCCTCTCCCTCTGTCTGTCTCTGGCGTGTCCTTATTCTAGCTTGTTTATTTTCTCTTTCTGATAGAAGATCCAGGACCCTCCTGCTGTGTACCTCAGCAATGGCCTAAGACAAAAGCCTGTCGCCATCATGACCTTTGACCTCACCAAGATCACAAAGTATGGGGTTGACCTAGCCCCTTAACCTAGTCCCCTGACCTTACCCTCTCTCCATCAGCTCTTCTCTTTTCCCTATCTCCCTGTCCTTCTCTCTCCCTGAACTCCACCTTCCCCAACCCCACATTTACTCTCAAAGGGCACACCCTATGCACAGTCCTTCCTTCTGTGTCCTTCCAAAACCTCCTCCTCCTTTGAGTTTCGAACCTTAGATCCAGAAGGAGTGATTATTTATGGTAAAACCAACCTAAAGGATGACAGGTTTGGGCTGGGACTTTGGGATGGCAGGCCTGAGATCTAACTGTCCAATCACTGGGCCCAGCTTGTGGTGGGCACTGAAGCCTGGCTGGACAATGGGGGGGCGGCACCAGGAAAGCTAGATCTTGTCCTGAAGGGGGAAGGGTCTGAGGAAGGGGAACAGAACCAAGTTATTGGGCATCCCTTTACCACTGTCATCTCCTTTAATCTGCACAAAACCCCCATGAAATTGCTATTCTTGTCCCTATTTTTTCAGATGGGAATTCTGAGGCTCAGTCAGTATATAAGTGAGTCAAGGATGCTAGCTGACTCTTCAAGTGCATGTTCTTTCTACTATACTTGGCTGCCTCTGAAGGAAGTGGTGGAGGCAGGCCCCAGGGGCCTCTGATGCTGCTTCTCTCCTCCTTCCTGTAGGTGGAAGTGAAGATCTTTGGGGACTCTGCTGCTGGGGGTGGATGGGAGAAGATGCTGTGCCTGAGACAGGTCTCTGGGCCTCTGGCCAACAATCCCCAGCCCATCATGAAGATTGCACTGGGGGGGGGGGGGTCTGCTGTTCCCTGCCTCCAACCTCCAGTTGCCGGTAACTGCATCACAGGGGCGGGAACCATGAGCAAAGCTGGTAAAGCCTTGATGGCTTGGGTGGCCATGGGGGTCTAAGTCCACTCTTTTGGGGGAGGGGATAGGATGAGTGCCTCATCGGGGGAGGCCATATGCTTGTGTCTCTGAGAGGGGAATAAACTGAGGGCAGCGAACTTGGGGCTGGGTCAGATGTCCTGCTTCTGACATCCCTGCATCTTCCCTTCCCCCTACTGGCTCCAGCTGGTCCCTGCCCTGGATGGCTGCCTGGGCTGGGATAACTGGCTGGATCAACAGGCCCACACCTCAGTGTCTGCCCCCACTAGCCTCAGAAGCTGTGCTGTAGAGTCCCATCCCGGCATATTCTTCCCTCCAGGGACTCGTGCAGAATTCAGTTCCAAGGTAAAGGCTATTTCCCCCTCCATGGCCAGCTTTGTGTCCGCCTTCCTCTGTCTCCCCCTCCACCACTAGCCCCCTCCCTCCATGATTCCCAGCCTTGAGGCGTCAGGAGGATCATTTCTCCCCCCAGACATTCCCCAGCTTCATGCAGAGCCCTGGGCCTTCTCTCTGGACCTGAGACTCCAGCTAGTAGCAGGCTCCAGCCACCTCCTTGCCCTTGGGATTCCAGAAAACCCTTCTTGGATCAGCTTTCACCTCTAAGATCAAGTAAGAGGGGGGCTCTACCTGTATTCAGTGGAGCCTGGGAGCAGCAGGGAGAAAAGGGGACTCCAAAATGTCAATATTAGGGAGGCTTTAGGGTGGGGGTGGGGGGCCAGGGACACATCTTGAAGCTACCTGCAGGAAGCAAGAGGCTTTTATTTAGATTGTATATTTACCTGGGGTGGATGTGGTTTTATAGAAGATCAAGCCAGGAAAATTGAGGCAGGATTTAGGTGGTGGAAATGGCCAGTAGATAGAAGATAGATAGAAGGTGTGGCTTCTCCCCCACTTATGTCCCTGTCCCACAAACTCTGCAGAAGGTAGTGCTGTCTTCTGGGTTGGGCCAGGGCTGGATCTGCCCCTGGTCTTGGGACTCCCTCTTCAGCTGAAGCTAGCTGTATCCAGGGTGGTCTTGAACCAGGGGCCAAAGAAGGAGATCCTTGCTCTGCCCCTCTTGGGCCTTGGCTCCCTCCTCAACCTCTGGATCCAGCTGCAGGGGCGTCTCTTCCTGGGGGCTTTGTCAGGTAAGAGAGAGTGAGTGAAGAGTGAAGAACTTGACAAGTTCTTCAGCACACAGTCAGAAAGAGCTAAAGAGAGGGGAAGAGATAGGAGGGGGTACATTTTTAAGGGAAGGAAATGTGTGGGAGGGAAGAAGAAAAGACCAGAAGAGGAGAGAGGGTAAGGGGGCAGTGGGAGGAAGTGCTTTCAAAAACTTAGGTTGGAGAACTAGAAAAGTGAGGAGGAGCTTCTGGATCCAAGCCACTCTAATGCCCCCTCCATGCCACCTCCCTCTAGGAGAGGCCTCTTTTGCCTTCTTTTGCTTGGACAGCCTTTGGGCACAAAGCCAGAGACTAGACATGGACTGAGTCCTGAGCAGAAGCCGGGACCTCTGGACTCAGAGCCCAAGCAATGGCCCTGACAGCATCCATTAAATCCCCACCTAAGAACCCCCTTTGAATGTCACTCATTCATTTATTCTACAAACATTTACTGTGCATGTGCAATGTACCAGGTGCTGTGCTGAGCATCAGGTTGTGTTGATGGGCAAAAACAACCCTTATTCCTGTCCTTTTGGTTCTCACAGTCCCCTGGGGGAGGCAGGCATTCATCACAGACCAACAAATAAGTGGATAATTGGAAACTCTAATAAGCACCATAAAGGAGCAGTCAGGGAATTGTGAAAGCTTGGAGATCAGGGGCCTTAAGCTAGTCTGAGGATCAAGGAAGTCTTCCTGAGGCAGCGGTGACTTCTCAGGCTGAAGTCCCAACAACAGTCTCCACAGACACACACACACACAGACACGCCAGATACAGGTCACTTTCTGGTTGCCAAGAGCCCTCCTCCTTTGCCCAGCAGTTACTCCCTTGGGACTTTAGCTTCCTCCCTCTGAGGTGGGGCCCAGGTCAGGAGGGAAGGGAAGAGATGGAATTCTGTTGTGCTTTAGACTGGCCACTGCTATTCAAGGAAGGAGCAGCAGGGGGCGTAAGAGGGTCTTAGAGAGATGGGGGCGGGGTGCTGGGAAAAGGGGTGGAGGCAGCAGGGAGAAAGAAAAAGGGAAGAGAGCAGAGGGAGAAAGCTGCCTCTCTCTCTCCTAGTCTCGGTCCACTTGCTGCATTCCCAGACAAATTGGTCTACTCCATTAAACAAGAATTGCCTTGTGCTGGTTCCAGCTGGGAAGAACAGACAGATTCAGGAATATCGCTGCTCTCAAAGGATATGGTGACCCAGCCCTCAGCCCCCAAACCTCTGGAGAATCCTGGTGCCCCAGCCCCTCCCCGGGGCAGCCTCCTGCGTCAGCCCCCAGTTCCCTGGGAGACCCTCAAGCCCAAGCTCCCAGCCCCTAGTTCCCAGCTCCAAGTCTTTAGCCCTCTTGGGAATCCTTGCGTCCTAGCGCAAAGCTCTCAGCCCCCTAGGGAGCTGTGGGACTTCAGCCAGTCCGCATCTCTCAATCCTCATCCCTCTCAGGCACTGTTAACCCATGCCCTATCTCCAGACCCCATGGAGATCCCAGTGTCCCAGCCTCGGGGCTTCTTACAATGATTTTCCTACTAGTAACCCCCAACAGGGAGAGTCATTCATTGGACCTGCTGTCCCCTCTATAGGGATCAGCCAGGACCTAAATGACCCCAGGGTAAGGAGGCTCCAGAAGACTCTGGGGTTGCAAACACAAATCCTAGACCCCTGCTTGCACCCTCCCAATCTTGCATTTGCCAGGTCTACAGCTGTGTCCACTCAGCTGGAATGTTTTATAGGAGAGTCCTCAGCATGGCCAGGGAGCCCAAATTCAACTCTTGTTCTTGGGCAGTGTTCAGGGTCAGGCTGGGCCACTTGGATATGTCCATTCAACTGATTACTGAGCACCTACTGGGTACCAGGCACTGTTCTAGACACTGAAGATACAGTGATGAAAAGGATAGACATATTCTCTGCTCTTATGGAGCTCACAGTATGGAGGGAGGGGCGGGTAGACAGCTCACAAACAAGAAAAATAAGCAAGATCATTTTGGATAGTGGTTAGCGCTATAAAGGGAATAAAATCCTGTAATATGATAGCGGGTGGTAGTGGGTGGGGCAACGTTAGCTGGGTGGTCAGGGAAGGCCTCTCTGAGGCAGTGTCATTGAGCAAAGACCTGAATAGTGAAAAGAAACCAGTCCTGTGGGGGCCTCAGGTGTGAGCCAGTGGGAGAGAGGTTAAAGGGCTTGGACACACCTGGGGCCCCACCAAGGGGGTTGTCTGAGTGGCAACTTCCTGACCTTGTGTCCCCGAGGAATCTCCCAGGGGCTGGCTTTTCTCTCCTCCCTCCACCCGACCCTGTCCAGGACATCATGCGCCCAACCTCTCTTTCTCCAGCCTGCCCTAGATTCCAAGATTCCTGATTACCATCCAGAGTTGTCTACAGTCTTTCATTAAGACTGACTTTGCTTTGACACAGACTCTGCCAGGGCCCCACCAAGGGCACCTACAATGCCTGCCCAGTGCCCCCTGCCTCTCCCACACCCCTAAAAACTTTTCCAGAGCTTGGCAGCCTACCCTGCAGCCTCTAGGCTTAGTCTACCCACTCACTCCACCCTATGCACTGCCTCTCTCTTCCCCTCCCTCCCTCCTTTGCGACTTCCCTCCCTCTCTGTCTGTCCCTCTCTTTTTCTTTCTTTCAATTAACATTTATTGGCTGCTGACAGTATGCCAAGCACTGTGTTAGGTAGTCCACAGGGATTCCAAAGATGAAGAAGACTTGATCCTGGCCCTGGAGAACCAGGGTCTTGAGAGAGAGAGAGACATTTTACTAGATCTCTAGTAAAATGCTTGACTAGAGATCTCTATGAAGTGCCAGGGAACCTGGTTGCAAGGTCTACCAAGGATCATCAAAGAGGTGAGTTATTGGATATGTGAACTTGAACCAATGGTTTTCAGTTTCCCCATCTACAAAAGTTACCCTACTCATAGGCTTGCTGTGAGGATTTGATGATGTTATTGTAGGTCAGATACCTAGCACAGTGCTTGGCATATAGAAAGTGCTCAATATATGGGAAATACATTGAGCTTTTGTTGATATCATTAACCTTGTGCACAGTTCTTGAAGTATAAATCTGAGCTTGCCAGGTATAAAAGATGAGGAAGGGTGTGTCATATGGCTGAACTAGGGGCAGGCTGAGATGGAATGAGGGCAGACTAGAGATGTTCCTTGGGCCATGTGGCGAGAGGCTGAGGAGTTGGGGCTTGATCTGGTCAGTGGAGGAACATCTATGTTTCTTTCTTTTTTTTTTTTTTCAGTTGTGGTAAAATACGCATAACATAAAATTTAGCATCTTAACCATTTTTAAGTGTAGAGTTCAGTGGCATTAAGTTTCACAGTGTTGTGCAACTGTCACCACCATCCATCTCTAGAACTCTTCATCTTGCAAAACTGAAACTCTGTGCCCATTAAATGATAACCCCCTATTTCCCCGCCATATCTGTGTTTTGGAGCTCTCTTCTTTCTTTCTTCTTGTCTCTGCCGAGACCTACCTTGTCAGGAACCCAGAGAGCTGAGTCCACCAGACAGCTGAGTCCCTGGGATTTGGCGGGGAGGGGGATCAAGGGGCACAGACCTTATGACAGGCTCTGGATATGGGAGAGGGAGTGGGGGGGCCCCTTATTTCCTTCCTCCTCTCTGGAGATGCTGGAGGGAGGAGGGCTGGGTTCCAGGAAGAGGTTGGAGGTTTGTAATGGCTCTTTGCCTCCCTTCCTTAGCTTATTTCCCTGTGAACCCCAATGCTGCATTTAGTAGTGTGCTCCCTCCTCCCCGGCCTTCCTCATGCTGATCCTCACCTACAGAAGCAGGCATGGATGGGAGCAACAGGTATCTCAGCCTTACCCCAGAACCCCCCACATGTACAGAAGACATTCATTCTTTCTTTTCCAAGTGAGCTGGGATACAGGGCAGAGACTGAGCCAGCAGGCTGGAGGCCATCCCCAGGCCTGTATTTGCCAAGCTAAGTGTGTTGAGGGTACGGTCCAGGCCTCATCTCTCCAGATCAAGACTGGCCCATTTCTTTTCTGTTTTTTTTGTGTGTGTGTGTGAGGAAGATCAGCCCTGAGCTAACATCCGTGCTAATCCTCCTCTTTTTGCTGAGGAAGACCGGCTCTGAGCTAACATCTATTGCCAATCCTCCTCCTTTTTTCTCCCCAAAGCCCCAGCAGATAGTTGTATGTCCCAGTTGCACATCCTTCTAGTTGCTGTATGTGGGATGCGGCCTCAGCATGGCCAGAGAAGCGGTGCGTTGGTGCGCGCCCGGGGTCCGAACCTGGGCCACCAGTAGTGGAGTGCGCACACTTAACAGCTAAGCCACGGGGCCGGCCCGGCCCATTTCTTTTCTTTCTTGCTTTCTTTTTTTTGTGTGTGAGGAATATTGGCTCTAAGCTAACATCTGTGCCCATCTTCCTCTACTTTGTATGTGGGATGCTGCCACAGCATGGCTTGATGAGCGGTGCGTCAGTCCACGCCTGGGATTCGAACCTGTGAACTCCAGGCCACTGAAACAGAGTGCGCGAACTTAACCACTACACTACCGGCCTTGGCCCACTTTGATCCTCCTTGCCTGATGAAGGAAAGGGCATGTTGCTTCCCTGAGGTTTCTTGCAGAAGGAGCCATTCCATCTTTAAGCCCAACGCAGAAACAGGCATTATATATATATTTTTTTTGCTGAAGAAGATTCACCCTGAGCTAACATCCCCTGCCACTCTTCCTCTTTTTTTCTGTGTGAGCTGTCTCCATGGCATGGCCACTGACAGAGCGGTATAGGTCCGTGCCTGGGAACCGAACCCAGGCTACTGAAGCAGAGTGTGCCAAACTTAACCACTAGGCCACTGGGGCTGAACCTCAGGCGTTATCTTCAATAGGTCTTCATTATCTTCAACAGGGTTGCTTGGTTATAGAATATATATACAAAGTCTAAGACAAACGCCTGCTCTCAAAATGCTTACAGTCTGGTTGAAAAGATAAAATACACAAGAGTTTTCAGCCCAGTTGCTGAGGAGAAGACAAAAACCTAGGCATTAGCCTTGATTCTTTTCTTTCTGTCATCCTCATTGTTCATGTCACTTTACTTCCGACATAGATCCTGAACCCATCCTCTAGTCTCCATCTGCACATCTGCTACCCTGGTCCAAGCCATCTGTGTGGCTGGACTGCTGCAAAGCCCTCCTGACTGCTCTCCTTGCTTCCCATAGTCCACTCTCCACACAGCAGCCATGGTGATTTTCATTAAATTTAATCATGTCACTCCCGTGCTTAAATCCCTAGAATTGCTTCTGTGATGTTGGATTAAAATCCAAACTACTCCCTTTGGCCTACAAGGACCTATCTGATTTGGCCCCTGCCTACTTCTCTGATCTCTTGCTGTATCAATTTGCCTTCCCTCATTGAAGCCCAGCCTCTGCACTTGCACTTCCCTCCTTCTGGA